ATTTAGTCATCCCTCTCCACCTCTAGTTGAGGGCAAAAGAAACAAATTGAGGAGAGGGATACATAATAGAAAACTCAGTATATAAAATATATACTCACCCCTGCACAGGCACACGAATAGATATACTCACCATGTTACTGCAAGTAAGTGTACCCACATCCCTTTATTTAATTGCCAACTCTGCCTTGTATACAAAGACCACCATAAATTTTAGAGATAGCATCATGGCAGGACAAAGGAAGGCCAAATGAACTTACCTGAGAATTTACATATAGGCAATCGAGGGGTGCAGTGGCTAAATTAAGACTGAAATAGCCGATCAGATTGTAACAAATTTCAGAGGGGAGAGTCCTTTTGTGCCACATAATAAAAGCGACCGAAAACAAAGGTTCAGGGGTACCGGCTCTGGACCCCTTGCCTTGACTCCAAAGTAGCTAACTCTCCCATTTCTCATCCATCTTTCAAATAAAGGGATTTTATTTTTCCTTCTGAACTTATATTTCTAATTCTTCATTTGTATAAGTTTACACTTACTGCTTGATCAAAGTATAACTGTGCTATACACACTCCCAGATGTGATATAACAACAAAAATATAAATTCTGGGGGAAGGGTAAAAGTCTAGAGGATTTTTTAAGCAACTGAAGTTAAGTATGCATTGGATTAAAATAACCTATAACAAAATATTCTTATGTAAGTCCCATGATAAATAACCAAATCACATTAGACAAAAATGAGAAAGAATGGGAAAAGCCTATACAATTAATCAAAAACAACAAAATGGCACAAATGAGTCCTTACCTATCAATAATAACCTTGACTGAAAACGGATTAAAATCTTCAAACAAAAGACACATAGTGGACACAACTACATGCTGCCTATAATGAACTCATTTTAGCTTTGAGCACACAGGCTGAAAAAAATGAAAAGGAAAAACACATGCCAGGTAAATAGTAATCAACAGTGAGTAGGACTGGCCCCATACTTAAGTCAAAAGCTGTTCCAAAACACAAAGAAAGCCATTATTAATGATAATAAAGTCAACTCATTGATGTTATGTAATAATTGATATAGGTAGAGATTAAATATCAATATAGATGGCATAGATATAGATATAAATACAGATACTTCCTCCATTTGAGCACCTAAATGTATAAAATAAATATGCATGGACATAAAGGAGAAAATACATAGCAATACAGTGATAATAGGAGACCTCAATACTGCATTTTCAAAAAGAGTTAGGTCAATCGGACAGAAAGTTAATGAGGAAATCCTGGACTTGAATCCCATTTTAGACCAAGCAGGCCAAATGGACATATGTAGAACTTTCCATACAAGAACAATAAAATATACTCATTGAACATTACCCAGGATAGATCTTATTTGAGACTACAAAACAAGTCTTAACAAATGCAACAATATTGAAATCATATCACATATTGTTTCTAGCCACAAAGTAAAATGAAATTAGAAATCAGTAACATAAGGAATCTCAGAAAACGTACAAATAAATAGGAATTCACAACATACTTCTGAATAAACAATAGGTTAAAGAATAAATCAAAAGGGACAATTAAAATATCTTGAGGTCATAATATTGGAAACACGTATCAAAACCTATGGAATGTGCAAAAACTTTGAAGAGAGAAGTTTATAGCAATAAATGCATACAATAAAAAAAAAGATTCCCAAATAAAACCTGAGGTAGAAAAAGAACAAACTAAACACAAACTGAACAGAGAAAAAAAGGAAATAGTACAAGTCACAACATAATTAACTCAAAGAGAGAACAGAAAATCCATACCAAAAAAGTGCCAAGAACCGCTTCTATGAAAAATAAACCAACTTAGGAAGTCCCTAGCTACACTAATGAAAAAGAAGATTCCACTAAATAAAGTAAGAAATGAAAGTGGAGCTACATCTCTCCTGGAAAGACATACTGTAGTGGTAAATGCATACCCTTGTTTATAGCAGCACAATTCCCAGTAGCTAAATTCTGGAAATAGCATAGGTACCTGTCTCCAGCCCAATGGATAAAGGACACATTCCCAATGGGATATGATTCAGCCATAAAGAAAAATAAAATCAGATGGAAAATGAAAACAGATGGAATTTTTGGACCATAATGCTAAGTAAAGTGAGTCAGACACCGAAAGTTGAATATCACATGGTTATTCCTATATAAGAAGCACTTAATCTAAAATAAGTAAATAAACAAATACATAAATAAATACATAAATAGGTAAGATTGAGATGGTAGGGAACAAGAAGGTAGAAATTTTGGAGTTGGGGGAGGAGACCAGTGGGAGGAAGAAGGGAAAGGGGAGTAGAGACTGAAAAAGATTAATATATGTTATATGCATGCATCGGTTTCCCAAAATGAGTATCACTATATGCACTGAAAACATACACTAATAAAGAAAGTGGAGAGGTGATAGCAGATAAATCAAAATTCAATAATGTCATTAATCGCTAGTATGAACAATTATAGGAAGTGTGATGAAAACATTCAGTGAACAAAACTGCTGAGAGCCATCCAAGGAAAGGGCAGGAATCTTCAAGTGGAGACAGGAACCTTTGTAACAATGTGTGACAAGTTTCAGCTTGTTTGGTGCAATCAGTTGTAAGTCACAACTGAGAGAAGGTGTATTTTAAAGTGTGCCTTGAATTGTGGATCATGTACAATGTGTTTCATTAGACTTGTGAGATCCTGCCACTGCAGATCCCACTTCTTTGAGAAACGCCATCAGAGGAGATGAAACTTGGGTCTATGGTTATGATTCTGAGACTAAGGCTCAGAGTTCTCGGTGGAAATCACCAAGTCCTCCTCATGCAAAAACAAAAACAAAAACATGCCAATCAAGATGTAGCATCTTGGGCCGGGGATTTAGCTCAGTGGTTTCGCCACCTGCTGCGCAAGCGCAAGGGCCCTAGTTCGATCCCCGGTACCAAAAAAAAAGAGTAAGATGTAGCATCTTGGTGATGTTAATTGTGGTGGGGGTTTTTTTTTACCTTAATAGAATTATGTGAGCTGAGCTTACACCCAGGGCACTTGGTGTACTCTGAGTATTATTAGAACTGTTAAAACATTTAAGAAATAATATGCAGAGAAAACAGACTGAGAAAAGGGCAAACGGTATTATTCTCCATCATAACAATACTTTAGCTCACATATTGCTTCAGGTATGGGAATTTCTGTCAAACAAAACATTACGATGTATCCTCAGCTGTCAAGTCTCTTTTTAGTCTCTGGTTAACTGAGAATTTTTATAATGGAAGATTACTTTTTCTTCATGTATAAAACTGTTCGGTTTTTTTATTTTACTTTTAATAAGGTAATTCTTATTTTAAATCAACTTGCCATTGCTAAATTACCCTTGTGAAAAGAGCCAGAATGAGTATTATTGGATGTGTTAGTCTTCATAATATTAACTGGATTTTTAAAGAGATGTTGTGTCTAGAATTGTTGCATCTCTAATCAGAAATCAATCTATACTTCTACTTTCTGGTAGTTCTCTTAAATTTTAGTAACTAAATTAGGCTAGACACTTGAAGAAACTTTGAAAATGCCTTTTTTTTCATTTTCTGCTTAAGAGTGTATAGTATTTGTATTATTTCTTACTTAAGTATTTGGGGGATGTAATGGATTGAGTTATTTTTCCCCATTCTTTTTTTATATCCTAGTATACAATTATTTATGCGTGTTTTTTGCTGCATGGCTTTGCAGTATGTCACATTAGAGTAGAGCAGTATATTGCATACACTCTTTAATTGATTCTAAGTTTGGTATTGTATCTTATTTCCCCAAATAAATACATGTTTATGTGACCGAGGGAGTGTTAACTGAATTTGGCTTAGGTTTTGTGTTTGTGAAGTATGCCTGGAAAACAACATGATTCAGTAGCAACTTTAAATCACAACTTCCAGATCTTAAGTGGATATAAGCTTATTTATATCTTCTTTTTTTTCCATTATTTCATTTTGGCAACAAAGAAAGATGTGCCATGGAAGGGAGATAATACATTGTATTTTATATTTAAATGTATTGGCCTCTAAATTGTTCTAATGTCCAGAACATTTTAGAGATTAAATTTTATGAGCTGATGGTAATAATTTTACCATCTCTTTTTATTTTGAACTGTTTAGTTATTTTTATAAATTTTATGAGTATGTCCAAAGACTCGACTCTGTCTTTGCTTATTTCTGAGTTATTTTTCCTATTCATTTTTCTTTTCATTTGTTTCTTTATTCTTTTTTCTACATACTAACTTTGAGTGTAATTACTGCTTTTGGGTAGGAGTAATAAATACACTTTTCATTACTGTCTGCTCCATAATACGCATCTCCTTATGATTAAAATTTTAGGATCAAAATGTAGTTTTATTCTAAAAAGCAGAGATAGACCTACTTTTTGTAGATTCTAAAATGTCTGCCTTAGCAAGAGAATTAAGATAACAGTCTATACTTGATAGTGCCTCTCTTATAATTCTCAGTTCAGCCATTTGTCTCAATACAATATTTGCTATATGATGCCACATAGTCCATAACTTTATACTGCAGTGATGCAAAAAGAACTTGAAAAAATCTTGACTGCTATATAAAATATCAATTCCTTTTATAATCTATCCATCTTTTCATAAGGGAAATTATATGTGCTATATACAGAGGGGGATATCTAATTTTATAAAAATAAAATTACTTTGATTTAATCATTTGATTCTTCCATAATCTGAGCTCTAAATTTACTGAGATGATAGAAGACAGTAAAATGAATGAATCTCAAGACTCTATATTAATAACAGCAATTTTTGAAATAATAGCATAACTGCAAGTGCATATGAAATCCCTGAGTATGTAATTTTATATGTGATAGTAAAATGTCATCAAAATATAAATTGTCCTTCCTGATGCTAAAAATAAAGTACAAAATTTATATATTCATAGATATTAGGATGGTGGCACAAACATCCTTCTATAATTATATATTCTACACTCACCTTTCAATGGAAGATGATATGATGCTACTGCTTCTGTCTTCTGACACAGAACTATAAAATTGATAAACTCTGTTTTAAAGTTGAGAAAATCTTAAATCTCAGAAGTTAGAGGACTATTTGCAAACTGTTCTTCAAGTTAACAGCATTACTTAAATAAAATGTCTTCTTTCAAGATAAATCAAAACAAAATAAGTACTATTTCAATATTAGATAAAATGCCAAAATTACCCTGCTTTGTTGATTCTTCTTACATTCATTTTATACTCATTCAGTATTTATGACATAAACATATCTATTTATAGGCAGTTTCCCTTATTCTGTGATATCTCTAAGTCAGGTCAAAGTAAGCCAAAACAATAAAGTTGCACTTCAATAAAAATCTGTAAAAATATTACATTGTATTCCATAAATATGTTCATTTTTATGTGTTTATGTTCAGTTAAAACATTATTCAATTTAAAATTTAGGTAGCTTCTAGTCATGGTGATGCACACCTGTAATCCCAGCACTTGGGAGGCTGAGGCAGGAGGATTGGCATGAGTTTGAGGCCAGGCTGGGCTACGCAGTATGTTCAAGACCTGCCTAAACTGCACAGAAAGACCTTGTCTCAAAAAAAAAAATAACAAAAATAAAAATTTTTTAAATTTAGGAAGCCTACAATAAAAATGCAATAAATGTTAAACAATATTATTTTAAGAATTTTTAAAGCCATTCTATGGATTTAATCATTTCTGTGAGCTCATGTTTAATTTGAGCACTAACAGTGCTTAAAAGAGAAAAGAAGTTGTACATTTCTACTAGCTGAAGACTATCTTGTAGACCAAATTATAAGCATTTCTAGTTCTAGGTACTCTCTACCTTAGTTATTTTACTTTATTTATTAAATAATTTCATAGTTATTCTTTAGAAAAAAGCTTCAATTAAATTTTCTATAGATTTTCTAAATATTTCTTTCTCCCTATTATAAAACATACTCATGTTTTCTATTTTATTAATTTCTGGAAGGTAAAACGAGAGGTAAATACTTCCATGGCAGAATACTGTAAATTAGGCAAATGAACTTTATAAAATGTTTAATTTTCTTAGTAATATACAATGCTGCCTTCTATCTCTTAACCTGATATTAGTAACTCTACATGCATTTTCTAGCTAAGTAATTACTTTCCTAATGAACAACTTTGATATTTAGAACAATAGTGTGGAAGAAGATTCAAAAATATTGTCTTTAATTGAAACAGATATTCTAATAAAAATATTTACCACTGACTTGAGAATGTGTAATACATTCATTTTTTTGTAAATTTCCTCGATTTTCAGTGTCACCTACTCTTATTAAAGCCTGTGGGCAACATGGCTATTTTGAGAGGCTGAATGACAAAAATGAATGACTTAAGAGGCTAAATAAATCTCCTGGGCAGATAGGATGCCTCCTATAGGGTTTCTGGTGGTAAACTAAGCAGTTTAGTAATGAGTAAGACTGAAAAACATAGTGAACATCAAACCAGCTTGCAATGTATCTTTATGACTCTTCTAATACTGCCTTACCTATAATCTTAGCTATTCCTAATAAAAACTACATACTGTTGTTTTTACTTATTCAGTATTAATGAGTAATATGCACACACAAATATACATACCTCTCATGTTCTTTTCCACCTCTGCAGTACAGCTCTCTTAGTGTATTCTGCTTTATTAAAATAGCAGCAGCAATCATCATCACAGGTATAGCAATGTAGAAAATGAGTTGAAACCTGTGTTTTGAGGAAGTAGCATATCCTGCCCTCAAGGCATTTTTACCTGGAATAGAAATTATTTTAGAGATGTAATTAGCCAAATGAAAAAGTAGAGAGGATAGCATTACCAACATCATTCCCAAACGTTAAACATCTCATATGTGATGAGTATATTATAAATATACTTTTAAAAACCCTTAAACTAATGTATATAAATATGCTATACTCATATTTTACTGATGTTTTTGAGTTTCTGACCTTCCAATATGTGACAACTCATTAGACTGTATAACCTGCAAACATTTATTTAATCTTTGTCCAGCTTGTCAACCCACCCTGTGGAAGTGGCTTTGAACTGGTTAATGGGTAAAGGCTGGAGTAGTTATAAGGTGCATGTGGAAAAGCCTATGTTACCATGAAGGGACTGTTGGTAGCAATATAGGCACTAAAAGAGGCTCCTGTGAGGGCTGAGAGAGAAGAGAAGGGATGGAAAGAAAGTTTACATCTTCTCAGAGAATACATAAAGAATCATGAGTAGAATGTTGGTAGAATATGAATATTAGAGGTGCTTCTGGTCTCAGATAGAAAAAAGCATATTATTCAACAAGGAATAAATGATTATGTCTATGACAAACTAGAAAAAAATTGCCTAAATTGTACTCTAATGTTTGTGGAGGATGGAACTTGCAAGCCCTGAAATTGGGCAAGTAGCTGAGATTTCTAAGCAAAATGTTGAAGTCATGCCCATGTCCTCCAGATTGCTTGTGGTAAAATGCCAGAAGGAAGAGATGTATTAAAAAAATAATTGCCAAGCAGAAATTTTCAACCTATCCATACTTCAAAAAGGAAGGAAATATATTCTGTAGTGAAAACCAAGTATGGTCTACAAAATCATTTGATGAAGATATTATAGGTATGAACCATGTGTTAAATCAGTTATCTCAGCAGGAGCCAGGAATACAGGATTAACAAGAAAAGATGAGATTTTACCAGCAGAGACATGTCAATTTGGATCAAAAGGTTCAGAATGAGATAATAGAGCTATCTGGTTACAAAAATGTTTTATCTTTTAAGAAAGAAGAATGGCCTGGAAGGTACCTCCCTAATCACTGGAGCTCCCATCACCCCTACAAGCTAAGGAGGCATGTCTGCCCCTTCTTGGTTTCAGAGGGTGGGGAACTGTCTTCAATTTCTGTGGCCCTAGATGCAGCAGCCCAGTGCACCATAAGTCAGACCATTACAAAGATAGCATGTATAGGGCAGCTCCCTAGAACAAAAAGGGAGAGCTCATGGCCTGTGATCTGGGGCTAACACTACCATCCTATTGGGCCTGGGAGAAAAATGTAAAGCCAACTATTATTATTCTCAAGTTTTAAGATTTAATGGAATATGCCTTGCTCATTTTGTTTCTTTTTTATTGGCATGTGTTTGCATTACGTGATAGTTATGTTCACTTTGGCAAAAAGGTACATATAGAACATATGTTGATCATTTTTCATACCCTTTCCCCTCCACTTCTCTTTCCTTGATCTCTTTTCCCCTTCTCCAAAACATCTGCTTTATTTTTCTCTTTACTTCCTAGGTTTGGGATTTGTTTGGGACATGGAACCCTACCATTTTTTTAACAATTTTTCATTTTGGTGATAACTATCCTAGGTCTATCTCTCCATTGTACCTCAGAATGACTTTTTCATTTCACAGATTCACAGCTTTGGGGAATTTTTATATCACACAGAATCATACTTCAAATCTAACTTATGCCTGATTTAGACAATATTCAAAGACTTTGGACTTTGAATTGCCTGGAATGAATGAAGATTTGGAGAGATGTTGGGATAGAAACTCACTTTGCATGTAAGAAGTAAAGGAATTTTGGGGTTCACAAGGTGTAATGTTGTGGATAAAACTGTCACTTCCTGAACTCATATCTTGAAGTCTCAATCCCCAGTGAGATAGTGTTAGGAACTGGGGCTGTGGGAGAAGAAATTATTCCATAAAGGTTCTAAATACAAGCCACAAAGATACTTATAATAAGCAATATTGAAGTATCAACCCAGGAATTAAATCAAGGACAGTACCAACAACAAAAATAGAAATGAGAAGACATTTAAGCAAGGCACAATCCCAGACTTCCAGCTCACCAAAGGCAAATTCTGGGGGGAACGAGTTGGAAAAGTCTGAAAATGAACCACCTGCACACCCTGAACTGATAGCACAGGAAGTAACAAAACAGATGAATGAGGCTCTAGGAAAATTCAAAACAGAAATAATTACCCAGGTAACTACGGAGATGGTGAGCAGAATGAAAGACATTATTAGAGACTCTAGAACAGAAACAGATAAAAATATAGATGAGTTGAGGACCATGATGGAAGCCATGAATACTCAGTGTAGGAAAGAAATGGAATCCATGAAACAGATTCAAACAAATATCCAGAAGATTAAAAACTCTATTAAAAGTACATACAGCAGACTGAGCCAATCTGAAGACAGAATATCAGATATAGAAGACAGGATGGCAGTCAGTGACCATAAAAGGAGAGATCTCGATTGCCTGCAGGGGTGGGACCTCTACCATACCTCTGCTGATAGATAGCGCCCTGGCTGGGAAAGGTCCTGCCGCTCCCAGCAGAGAGGAAGGGGCATCTGAGCCACTGTCCCACTGCTCCTGGCCCAGAGGAAGGAGCTTCTAGGCCACAGTCCATCCCGCTGCTCATGGTCCAGAGAAAGGCACTTCTGAGCCACCATCCCACCACTCCTGGCTTAGAGGAAGGGGCTTCCAGGCTGTTGTCCATCCTGCCAATCCCAGCCAAGAAGAAGGGGCTTCCAAGTCAACGACACACCACTCCCAGCTCAGAAGAGGTGAGCCAAGTGGGCGCTAACAGCACCACCACCCCCACTCGGGTTGAAATGAGAAGACACATAAATAAGTCTCAACACCAGACTTCCAGATCACCTACAGCAACCCCAAAGGGAAATGAGATGGAACACTCTGATACTCAACCACCTGGACCCCCTGAACTGGCAACAAAAGACAATCTGGAAAAAATGAAATCAGAAATAATTTCTCAGAAAACAGCAGAGATTGTGATCATAGGGCAAGACATGATTAATAAATCTAGAGAGGACCTGAGGAACATGATGGAATCCCAACACAGGAAACAAATGGAATCCATAAAACAGATCCAAATAGATTTCCGGGAGATCAAAAACTCCATTGAAAGTTGACACAGCAGAATGAGCCAATGTGAGGACAGAATTTCAGATATAGAAGATAAGATTGCACTCTGTGACCAGGAAAAGGAAAACTGCTTCAAAATTGTAAGGGAACATGAGTAATCAATCCAGCAGCTGCTAAATGATGCAAAGAAGAATAACATAAGACTGATTGGAGTCAATGAAGAAGCAAGAGAGAGTGCAGACAACACAAAAAACTGTTCAGAGAAGTGATAGCAGAAAACTTCCCAAGCAGGGGAAAAGAACTAGACATACAGATAAATGAGGCATTTTGGACTCCAAATAGCCTTCATCAAAAAAAATCTACACATAGGCATATAATTGTTAAGATTCCAGAATCCCAACAGAACAAAGTTCTGCAGCCAGTTAGAGAAAAGAAACAAATCACATACAAAGGAAAGCCCATCAGAATCACAGCACACTTCTCAACACAAACC